CAGCAGCCCCGTCAGAAGCTTTGTGTTCACTGAGACGCAGTTCATGGCAGTGACGGCCTATCAGAACGCCACGGTGAGTCTGACGCTTCACACGTCTGCTGGAACCCGCTGGACCTCTAAAGACCGACTCCATCTTTCACACCAACAGATCACACAGCTGAAGATCGACAACAACCCGTTTGCTAAAGGCTTCAGGGACGCGGGGAGCAGGAAGAGAGACAGGAGGTGAGGATTATCTCATTCTAAGAGTAAAAATCCTCCTTCTATTATCAGATCATCTAGTTTACCTTCTCAAATTAAAGGTAAATCCAGTTAATTCAGGGACAGAAAAGACTTTGCTGCTTCAGTTGAACCTGACTGCTTCTCCTGCAGCGGAGACTTTAGAATCGGTCAGAAAGGATTCTGTGATGCAGAGAAGGACTTCATTCATGGGAAGATGGAAATCATGAATCGAACCCGATCAGCAGAGTTTAGATCAATAAGCTGCTGCTCTTGATTTTCTATTTCTGTTTTAAATCTTTCCAGAAGTCCGTCTGACTTCAGCTCTGCTCTCATTTGTCCAACAGGAAGCTTCAGCAGTCTGGAAACAACAGTCTGGAAGCTTCTTCTTCTTCTTCTTCTGGTGACTGCAGGTCTCCAGCTGCAAACATTTCCTCCACCAGCTGTGAGTCCAGCAGCTACAGAGGCCTGACAGCAGAGCAGGAACGCCTTAATGATGAGGAAGCAAAGCTGAGCAGCAGTTGCCATGGAGACCCCCTGTTAGAGTCCCTCACAGCAGCACGGAAGCCGACCAAAAGGTGGCGTTCCGGCGGAAGCTCCGCCCCCTCAGGCAGAAGAAGCTGCTCCGAGGACTGGGAGAAAGGTCAGGATGTCAGACGATGCTGCAGCTTCCCACCCTGCTGCTGGCTCTTCTCTCCTCACCACCTCAACCAACATCTGAACAGCTCAGACTGGACACCAGCCCACAGCTGCTCCAGATGTGCCGCTGGCAGAGCCGTGCAGCTCAGACCCAGCCTGGCGGCGCCTGCTGGGACTCCTCTGTGGGTGTCCCTCAGCCAGCAGGCAGGGCTTCAGGTAACCCGGTTCCCTTTAACCCATCACTGCGTTTGGTTACCATGGCTACGAGTCATTCAGCCTGCAGCTGATTTTTATTTTTCCATCTGACCTGATTGTAACTGAGATGAAAGATGCTTCTCCTTCCTCTGACCCTGCAGGAAGCGATGAGCGTCTGGCCGTACGGAGGCTTCCTCCCGGTGGAGCCTTTCTCCAGAGCATCATCGCTGGTTCTGCAGCAGATCCCCATCACACAGCCCACAGTCAGCGCCTCTACCAACCTCTATGCCCACAATTTATTCTCTTCCATTCTCTCATCATCTGTTCCTGCATCAGTGGAAAGCTGCTGCAGCTTTTAGACTCAACCTGCAGCCTGAAGAAGTGACCAGCAGAGGGAGCACTCTGACCCCCGCCTTCCTCTGATGCATGAACAGGATGCAGAGCAATGCCTCACCTCTCTGCAGGTCCCGCTTCCTCTGTCCCATCATCAGACAATAAAATGATTAAGACATTAAATCTCTGAGTCGCTTCTAAACAAACGGTGATGCTGCGGGCTTCATCCTGGGAGGAAAGGTCAGATCTGTTCTGATGGGTTTACTGAACTATGGCCAGATCTCAGGTTTCTATTAAGAAACAAGTTTTAACGTTAAGAATTTGTCAAAAAGATCACTGAAAAAAAGCATAATGTAAGACTTTATATGTGAGAAGGAGGATTTTAAATTCTATTCTGGATTTAACAGGAAGCCAATGAAGAGAAGCCAGGATAGGAGAGATATGATCTCTCTTTTTCATTTTCATCAGAACTCTGGCTGCAGCATTTTGGATCAGCTGAAGGCTTTTAACTACAGTTTGTGGACTTCCTGATAGTAAAGAATTACAATAGTCCAGCCTTGAAGTAACAAATGCATGGACTAGTTTCTCAGCATCACCCCTGGACAGGAGATTGCTCATTTTTGCAATATTCCTCAGATGAAAGAAGGAAATTCTAGAAACCTCTTTGATCTGGGATTTAAATGACAGGTCCTGATCAAAAATAACACCAAGATTTTTTACTTTATTATCTGAAATCAGTTTAATCCCATCCAAATGAAGTGACTGGCTAATCAGTTTCTTTTTCAGAGACTCTGGTCCAAAGACTATAACTTCTGTTTTGTCTGCATTCAGAAGCAGAAAGTTAAGAGTCATCCAGGTTTTTATGTCTTCAGACATGCCTGTAATCTATGTAATGGGTTAGCTTCATCTGGATTATAGACAGATATAGCTGGGTATCATCAGCATAACAGTGGAAATTAATCCCATGCTGTCTAATAACTCTACCGATTGGGAGCATGTATAAAGTAAAGAGAATCGGTCCTAGCACTGATCCCTGTGGTTCTCCACAAACACTAGAAGAAGCTGCAGCTACAAATTAATCCATTCAGATATTTTTTTCTGATTCCAATTTATATTCATACAAATACAATCATTGCGACAGTTGACCTGAACTTTATTAGAAATTCATCAGTTGTTCAGAACTCAGACAATAAGATTAATAGTTTCTGTCATTTCATTTTTATTCATTTCCAGCAAAGACATGCATTGAAACATACAAGTGAATGCCAGATCATCAGTTTAGACTTATAAGTAAGAAAAATCAACATGTTCCCTGAAATATAAAGAAAAAAAGGAAATAAATTGACAGATAAATATGCTTATAAAAGCAGTCAAAATGATATATTAGTGTGATTAAGTAAAAAGGAGAAATAAAATCAGTAATTAAGCAAAATGTTTGAGCCAGATGGCCGACACAATGGGAGAAAGAAAGAACTGGAAGATGGTTTTCTAGAAAGAGATGTTGGCAGAATGCGAAGAACAGGACGGAATAATCCTCTCGGTTACGCTTTGGTTTAAATATTATATCATTTAAACTACAGAGAGACGCTGCAGGAAAGCTAGAGTTTGCTTTTTAAGAAGAAACAGTTGAAAATGTTTCATTCATTTGCACTAAATATGTAGTTCAGAGAAATGAACTGGTTCTTAAAAGCCAACAAATTACAGATCATTAGACATTAGAGACAAAAACCCAAATCATTTGTTAATGTTCAGGTACCTAAAAATGACTGATGAAAGGATATAGTTGTGTCTTTGTCACTATTTGAATCCGGTCCATCCTCCATTTCAGTCGATGACACTAATGCACCAACGGTTTCCTGGCAACCGCCTTTAAACACAAGAAGAAGAAGAGAAGCAGAATCACAGCAGAAATGGTGGCAGTGCTATAAGCTTCCAGTGGGTAGAGGAGGTCAGAGCAGACAGGGTGGAGGTCTGTACAGATTCCAACGCAGCTTTAGAAAATGTTCAGGGAGAAGGAAATAAAAGGAAAAAATTAGAAATTCAGCACAGTCTATTTAGATTATATAGCGTGGCTTTGATATCTGGCTATGGTGGGTTCCAGCACATGAAGCTGTAAAAGGCAATGAAAAGGCAGATATATTAGAAAAAAGGGCTTTAGAGGGAACAATAACCTTTGGGAAAAGTTAAATCACTTATTAAGAGGAAAGAAATGGAAAAAAAAAAAGGTGGAATGAAGATAAAGGATTATATAAAGTACAAAAGTCAGAATTAAATGGAAATATTATTGAAAGATGATCAGATTACGAGTCGGTCATATCTATTTAAACCACAATTTATTTTTAATAGGGAGGAAAAATACTGATAGATGTGAAAGAGAAAAATAAAATGTAGAAAACGTAGTGATGAACTGAAAAACTTCTGAACCTGAAAGGGAGAAATTGAGGAGAAAGGTTGGAAGGAAAGACCAAGATGGAGCCTGAAAGTTAATTAGGAAATAAAGGAAATATAAAGGATATTTACAGACTAAGGAAAACCTTATTCATTATTTAATACAAAATAGAAAAATAGAATTTGATAGATTTAAAGTAATGTTGCTACACACTGATGTACAGTAGGTGGTGGTATGCACCGATCCGCTACAATAGAACAGAAGAGAAGCAGCAATTGATTGATTGTAAAAAAGAAAGATTTTTTGTTTTCACGGTAGAAGTGATCAACTGTAGTTCTCAGACGATTAAAGAAAACTGAAAAAATCCAAATAATAGTGAAAGCTGCAGAAAAGCATCTTGAAGTGAGAGATTTAAAATTGGGAAAAGGTTGAAAGTATGATGAGAAAACCGAGTAGGACCATCAGAAACTGGCAGAGTGAAAATAATAAAGATAAATGAGAAATTACGAGGACTAATTAGAGTAATTATCTATTATGTTGGGTTAAATTAAACAGTTTGGAAAAATATTATTTTTTTTTTCTGGGGGTGAGTCCTGTTCCCTGTTTAACTCCTTATCAGTTGGTGAATTTGCAAATAGATGTACATCCGGGTGTCCATAAGTAATGTAATCGTGGTACTAAAACTACTTATTTCTATCCTTAACTCACTAAAGAATACTGATACACATCTGTAAAAAATGTTTTATGATTTTTGTGAGACTAATTAATGTTTATGCTTTTTACATTTTCTTCTTAAAACTGCTTCTCTGACGTCATCATGGGTCATGCACAGAGCAGTCTGGCTAAATATGATTAACCATGTTTATCTGCATTTTAGTTGTTTCTTTCTTTAAATTACGCACTATATAGCATAAAGTTAAAACGAAACGTAAAAACATAAAACTCAAACAGACGTGGATGTTTAAATCCAAAGCCGAAAAAGTTAGCGACCGGAAGTAGCGTAGGATCCCATTTCCGGTGCAGGTCGGGAACAAAGTGATAAACAAAAAGGATTTAAAGGCATCTTTTTTTCTTAGGAAATACATTATTAACGTTTAACACATTATATTTTAGTACGTTTACAATTTTTGGGAAGGGAAAACGTCATTTAGGTATTTTTAACAAAATAAAATCGAGGACGACCCGGAAGTATATCTGTATGCGCAAATCAACTGATGGCGCATGCGCAGAACGGATCGTGCTTCCGGGACGGATCAGGTAGGGAGAGAAGGTAATGAACTGGTTGCCAACCGCCATAAAACCATAAAATAATAATAATAATAACATTAATAAGAAGAAGCAGCAGCAGCTGGTTCCTGCGGCCGCCTGAAGCAGCCATGATGTCCGTCAGCCTCATCCTGCTGTGCGGGCAGCTCCTGCTGCTCCTCTCCGTCATCTTCCTCCAGTGTCTGGAAGGGATCCACTCCCACAACTCCAGCTCCCCCTCCGCTGCTCCTGCCTCCTCTCCTCCCGCAACGAGCGCCTCCTCTCCTCCCGCTCCGGGCGCCTCCTCTCCTCCCCTCAGCCAGCAGCCAGGGCCTCAGAAGGAGGAAGCTCCGGCGGAGAACAGCAACAACAGCACCGAGATGTTTGAGTACAAGCCTCCATCCCCGGTGGTTCTCTGCCGCTACCTGTGAGTGACGCGGAGGCTAACAGCGTTAGCTGAGGGAGCTAGCTACGGCAAGCCAGAGGGGACACAGCATGGAGGGTCGAAGCTAAACTAGTCTGATAGATCAGCTCCTCTCTGCTCGGAAACAATGATCTCTGTTTGCTGCTGGAGTGAAGCCACCGGCCGCCATATTGGTACTCCCTAGTTGGACCGGTCTCAATGTAAACAATCAGAGCGCTGCAGCATCAGACAAGCAGGATGTTCTTATTTTCAGCTTTAAAAAATTGATTAATTCATTACTTTGACACAGAGTGGCTGTTTCACAGCATCAGTAGATTAACTTATAAAAATCACATTGCAGAGTCATTATGACGTCAATGAAGTCTATAAATGATGTAATATAACATATTATACAAAACATCACAATAACATTAATGTGTTAATGGAGCAGAATAATACAGATGAGCCAAAAGTGATAAAATAATGATGAACGTGTTAAATACATGGATTGATGACATTGTAATGGTAATTACATCTTACAGGTCTGTTAATATATATATATATATATCTCAACATATAGGGATCAAATGTTTTACTTTCTATTTTTCTGTCAATGTAAGATGCAATATAAACACAAAAAAAACCTCAGCGTCATCCACTTAATGAAGAATTACTACACTGATACCGATACCAGTATGGGGGGGGGGCTGATCCAGCACTAAGATGATGGTATCAGTATCGTTGAGTACCAACCAATAGGGAACTGATACCAGTATGAGATCCAGAAGTTTCTTCAACTGTTGTCGCCCATTCCAGGTAGGCAATAAAAAGTTCTACTGGATTCACTTTGTTTTAGTCTTTTTCCTGCTTCTCAAAGGAAGGCAGCAGCTTGAAGCCATGATGGTGATTATTCTACATCCAGGTAGTCTGCAGTTCTTCATAGATCTATTTCAAACAGATGTTATCGGTCGATGCTGCACAGTCAGGTATCAGGGCCTAAAAATGGCATCAGTGCAACACTAGTTACTACATTAACATTTCACAGTGAATTACTTTCTATTTTCTAACCTTAGACCCAATGTCAGTGGCTAACTCAGTCAATGTCTTCCAGCCAGACTAAAGTTAGTCTGCAGACTAAACTATAGGATCCATCGGCTATAGATGGATTTATTGCCTGAGGAACATCTTCCTGCAGACAGAAACTGCTGGTTTTAGCCGCTAATTGCTGCAATGGGAGGCGTTTGACTGCGTGTCTCTGTGGGAGTGGGGAGTACCAACATGGCAGGCGGTGACTTCATTTTTGTCGGGCTACCAGCAATCCAGTAAATACATAAAGATCAGTGATCAGGGTTCATATGGCAAATAAATAAAGTCAGCTTCCTGACGCACTTCCTATTGATGATCAACAGGAAAGGTTTCCCTGGAACGATGATGGCGGCGCCGTTTGAAGTTTAAATCTGTTTTGTCTCTAATCCAGTGTTGTTCCACCCTGATCCTCCAGGATCTCTGCTCTGCATGGTTTAGACCAGGGGTGTCAAACTCATTTTCAATGAGGGCCACATCAGCGTAATTGCTGTTCTTAAAGGGCCAGATGTAACTTATAAATGTAACTAAATGTAATTGAATGTAATATAAAATAAATGTAACGACTCCTTAATGTTAAATAACTCATTATTTATTATAACTTATTCAAGTGACAATTACAGTTGCATAGAAAACAAATGCTTGCTTGTTGCTCTAACACACGTGTCACACAGCCGCTTCCTACCCAGTCCTCCTCATCGGTCTCTCCCCCTCCGCCCGAATCACTATCATCGATATTTTGAAGCGTTTCTAAAGCCTGTTTCTCTGTTAGGTTTCTTCTGAATGCCACTTTTTCCATATTAGCCAAAAAGTTCTAGGTAGAATGTTGCTTGCTAGGCAACGAAATTTACAATGCAACTAATTGAGCCGTCAAAATGGCGGTTTTGGGGGATCGAGGTAGAATTAACCATATTTATTTTTTACGTTTTTTACGTTTTTTAATTGTATTAGAAAAGTGAAAATATTTTTTCACTTTCAAAAGTGAAAATGAAGGAAATATAGAAACTGGAAAAGTCAGTTAACATGAGCAACATAAATTTAATTTTAAATATAGTTCTTTCCCTTTAAAATCTCAGAACCATCAAAATGACGGCTGTGGGAGTTCTAGCGGGCCACATAAAAGGACATGGCGGGCCACATCTGGCCCGCGGGCCTTGAGTTTGACACATGTGGTTTAGACGTTGCTCTGCTCGCAGTGGATGTCAGGTGGGTGAAAGCTGGGACACATCATGCAGGGCAGAGAGCAGCAGGATGGAGATCCACTCTGGTTCTGTCTCTTCCTGCTGCTGGAGGCTCTGATGGGGTCAGACGACCTTCACGGCATGCCGGGGGTCATCCTGACGCGAGCTGATGCTCTGTTCTCTGAACAGGAACACAGGAGACACTGGAGAACCAGCAAAGGTTCTACTGGATGAAACTAGATGCTCCCAATGAGTAGAAGGACCGTTTGTCCATTTGATGTTTCTAAACAGCTCAGCTCCAAAGCACGGCGCTGACGGCGTCATGCTGTGGGTCTGTTGTGCTGCCAGGGGTGCTAATGAAGGTTAACGATGATTGTTGTGTTTACAGAGTTTGAATTTGCAGCTGCAGTTTTTCCTGGTTTCTATGGTGACGAACGGAAACAAACGACTGTTTTATTTTCCTTCCCTGTTAGACCCGAGGAGTTCATCTACTGCCAGGAGCCGGTGGACCATGCTGGAAACGACAGCGCCCTTCGGGAGATGGAGTACGGCTGCGTCGGGGTTAGTACCGCCCTCTGTCAGGGGAGGGGGGGGGGGTCAGAGCTATAACGCCAGCTGACATCATGTTCTTGTTCAGTGGGGCGGCCAGACGAAGAAGGAGGTGAACCACACCAAGGTTCTCTGCACGGCACTGGATGATATCGAATGTGCCGGTCCGAGGGAGTTCCTCCGAGGAGACGTGCCCTGCATCAAGTAAGACGCCGTCAGCTTCCGCCATGCGGGAGCATTTTGATCCGTTCCATCGGTGATCCATTCTATCTGATCCGTTCCATCTGTGGTCCATTCTATCTGTGATCCATTCTATCTGTGATCCGTTCTATCTGTGATCCGTTCCATCGGTGATCCGTTCCATCTGTGGTCCATTCCATCTGTGATCCATTCTATCTGTGATCCGTTCCATCGGTGATCCGTTCCATCTGTGATCCGTTCCATCTGTGGTCCATTCCATCTGTGATCCATTCCATCTGTGATCCGTTCCATCGGTGATCCGTTCCATCTGTGATCCGTTCCATCTGTGGTCCGTTCCATCTGTGATCCGTTCCATCTGTGATCCGTTCCATCTGTGGTCCATTCCATCTGTGATCCATTCTATCTGTGATCCGTTCCATCGGTGATCCGTTCCATCTGTGATCCGTTCCATCTGTGGTCCATTCCATCTGTGATCCATTCTATCTGTGATCCGTTCCATCTGTGGTCCATTCCATCTGTGATCCATTCCATCTGTGATCCGTTCCATCGGTGATCCGTTCCATCTGTGATCCGTTCCATCTGTGGTCCATTCCATCTGTGATCCATTCTATCTGTGATCCGTTCCATCTGTGGTCCATTCCATCTGTGATCCATTCTATCTGTGATCCGTTCCATCTGTGGTCCATTCCATCTGTGATCCATTCCATCTGTGATCCGTTCCATCGGTGATCCGTTCCATCTGTGATCCGTTCCATCTGTGGTCCATTCCATCTGTGATCCATTCTATCTGTGATCCGTTCCATCGGTGATCCGTTCCATCTGTGATCCGTTCCATCTGTGGTCCATTCCATCTGTGATCCATTCTATCTGTGATCCGTTCCATCGGTGATCCGTTCCATCGGTGATCCGTTCCATCTGTGATCCGTTCCATCTGTGATCCATTCTATCTGTGATCCATTCTATCTGTGATCCGTTCCATCGGTGATCCGTTCCATCTGTGATCCGTCCCATCTGTGATCCGTTCCATCTGTGATCCATTCTATCTGTGATCCATTCTATCGGTGATCCGTTCCATCGGTGATCCGTTCCATCTGTGGTCCATTCCATCTGTGATCCATTCTATCTGTGATCCATTCTATCTGTGATCCGTTCCATCGGTGATCCGTTCCATCGGTGGTCCATTCCATCTGTGATCCATTCTATCTGTGATCCATTCTATCTGTGATCCGTTCCATCAGTGATCCGTTCCATCAGTGATCCGTTCCATCAGTGATCCGTTCCATCGGTGATCCGTTCCATCGGTGATCCGTTCCATCTGTGATCCGTTCCATCTGTGATCCGTTCCATCTGTGATCCATTCTATCTGTGATCCATTCTATCTGTGATCCGTTCCATCAGTGATCCGTTCCATCTGTGGTCCATTCCATCTGTGATCCATTCTATCTGTGATCCGTTCCATCGGTGATCCGTTCCATCTGTGGTCCATTCTATCTGTGATCCATTCTATCTGTGATCCGTTCCATCGGTGATCCGTTCCATCTGTGATCCGTTCCATCTGTGGTCCATTCCATCTGTGATCCGTTCCATCTGTGATCCGTTCCATCGGTGATCCGTTCCATCTGTGATCCATTCTATCTGTGATCCATTCTATCTGTGATCCATTCTATCTGTGATCCATTCTATCTGTGATCCGTTCCATCGGTGATCCGTTCCATCTGTGATCCGTTCCATCGGTGATCCGTTCCATCGGTGATCCGTTCCATCTGTGATCCATTCTATCTGTGATCCATTCTATCTGTGATCCATTCTATCTGTGATCCGTTCCATCTGTGATCCGTTCCATCTGTGATCCATTCTATCTGTGATCCATTCTATCTGTGATCCGTTCCATCAGTGATCCGTTCCATCTGTGGTCCATTCCATCTGTGATCCATTCTATCTGTGATCCGTTCCATCGGTGATCCGTTCCATCTGTGGTCCATTCTATCTGTGATCCATTCTATCTGTGATCCATTCTATCTGTGATCCGTTCCATCGGTGATCCGTTCCATCTGTGATCCGTTCCATCTGTGGTCCATTCCATCTGTGATCCATTCTATCTGTGATCCGTTCCATCTGTGATCCGTTCCATCACTCATCTGTTCTATCAGGACGTGCAATAACAGCATCATCTATTTTTCAGCCAAACTGAATTTATTTTCAGCCATCAGAGCTGCTAATGGAATGCTGGGAAGTTTCTGTGACCATCAAGTTCAGAAACTCTGCATTGATGCATAAACAGGCAGGTTGATGCTCCCTGCATCTGCAGGTTGATCCTCAGCAGATGGTCTGAAGGTCCTGATGTGGCCACAGACCCCTGGGCCCATTTTCACCAGTAGTTCTGAAGCTGCGTTCACAGCGACGGCGTTATGAGCATCAAGAACGCTTAAAGGCAGAAATCTGGATCAAACTGGTCCAGCTGCTTTGCTGCTCTGGTTGTTTATCTGCTCTGTTCTGTAGCTTCCAGCTAGAGAGCAGCTCGGCTTCATTTACTTTATGAGCTGGAAAATAGTTTGAACAGGTTTTTAGTGAGAAAGTCCACCTCCAAACATCCTCTGTTCATCAGTTCATCAGGATTATAATCCCACTATAATCTGCAGTTCTTACTGGGAGCTCCAGACCTCCAGCATCCCGCCGGGAGGCGGCGCTGGGAATCCCTGCTGGAAGCTCTCTGCTGCAGGCAGCCTGTGGGGGATTTCCTGCTGCCGCTCGTAGCGGCTGGAAGTCAATAGAAAGAGTTTTTAAGGTTTGAGGTAAAAAGTAGCAGCTTCTGTCTCTGAGGACGAGTCATTTGGCTGCTCCACTCCCTCTAGAGCGACGCTAATTCGTTAAAAATCTCACAGTCATTAATGAGGAAAAGATGAACCTGATCTTCATCTCTGCGAACGTTAAAAAGCTTCAGCAGCAGGAGGTTAAAGGTCAACCAAAGGCTGGACCCCTTTAATGTTTAGCTTTAAATTAAAGCTAAAGGACAGAATTTCTGAAGAATGAAGATTTGTTTTCTTCCAGGATCAGAAAGGATGTGACCTCCTGCCAGTGATGCGTTCATGAGGCGTTTCCACACATCAGGAAACTGTGTTGATTCTGTTTCACTAAATACTGACACCTGCTGGACATTTAAAGTCACTACAGGCAGCTTTGACTAATTGGAGGATCTATATTATTACTTAAGCCTTTGTTTGCTATAATGTTTTATTTCATATCTTTTGTTTTAATTGAAAATGTCTTTTTTGGATGCAATTAACAGAAAAATTCGAGTGAACACGTGAATAAGGATTTAGTGGATTAGGATTTATTTATCTAAGATTTTTATTATTATTTATCTGAGATTGGGGGGGGAGGGGGGCGTACTGGTTATGGCACAGAGATAGAAATCCTGAGGTTGTGAGTTCAAACCCACAGACAGCTGTTTGCTCCCTGGGCGCCCCATGATGGCAGCCCACTGCTTAAATGCAGAGCTAAATTTATCCACCCCACCACAGAAGAAGAGCTGCAGCTGGTTCCTCTGCTCCTCATCAAGGTTCTGTTGGGTTCTCCTCCAGAACCCAGACCAGGCTGGGAATCAGTCCCAGTCCGTTGGTGGAATCTGGTGAATAAAGGAAGCATGAATGGCTGGAAGGTGGAAGTTAGTCATGTTCTCCACCAGAGGGCACCGTTTACCCCGTCTGGCTCCACCAGATAACAGATGCTTTCTGTCTGCGTCTCCATAGATACACGGGCCACTACTTCATCACCACGCTGCTGTACTCCTTCTTCCTGGGATGCTTCGGCGTCGACCGCTTCTGCCTGGGCCACACGGGCACGGCGGTGGGCAAGCTGCTCACCCTGGGGGGCCTGGGGATCTGGTGGTTCGTGGACCTGATCCTGCTCATCACCGGCGGCCTCATGCCCAGCGACTACAGCAACTGGTGCACCTACTACTGAGGGGGCGGAGCTTCTGCAGCTGCTGCTGCTGCACCGGCAGACACGGCGTGGGCCCGCCGGCTGATGGTGCTGTGGGCCGTTCTGGAGAGGAACTCTGCGGGCGAACAGGATCCAGACATTTAATACAGACGTTGTTTGAAATGTTTGCCTGCAAACGAGCAGAGCTGGTTTCTACGTTCAGGAACTCTGGAAGAAACAGAAACGCTTTGGATCATTTTCTCTCATTTTCTCTGATTCCAATAAAACAAAGATAAACAGACATGAATGACGCTTTAAAGCCTGGAAACTGAACTAGTTTAGAAGAATATCTGCTGACTCACGCTGACTGATGCATCTGATGGCGGCTCCTTCGCTTTTCCTTCAGTTTTCTGTCTCAGACGCGCAGCGTTTCCTCTGGAGGAGAATGAAGGAGACTAATGAGAATCAGCAGCTGAAATGACTGAAAAACGCAGAAAATGTTCAAACCTGAATATATTTACACAGAAATCTAAAATGTTTAATGTGATTGAAACTTTTATTCTTCCAAACAGAGAAGCAACAGTTATCCTGAAATAAAACTCAACTGATTCCTGCTTTTTATTCACTTTATACATTTTAACATTTAATGTTTCATTTTTAAATGTTTTTAGCTTTCTGCTGTTTTTCTCCTCTGAGCTTCAAATATTACCAAGAAAAGTCAGATTTGCTTTTTATTTCAAGTCTAGAATATTTCTGGGAGGAATTTAATATTTATCCATCAGGATGTTATTAATGATCATCTTTATGGGATTTATGGAGGCGGACATCTTTGTTCTACGGCAGCCCAGAGGAGACAAACTAGTGACTGTAGAGATCAGCACTAGAATGTGACTGCAGCACGTTACGCCTCTAGAAAATCTATATCTACATGAAATACTGTTTATAAAAAGATCTACGGAGACAAACTTCATTATGGCCTGATTTTTCCTGGGGGGGGGGGGGGGGGGGGGTCTGACCACTAGATTTAGCTGAAAATGAGAAACTGGAGCTTTAAACTCTCTGAGTTCACGTTCACAATGAGCAGCTTTCAGCCAGCTGGGCTGCAGTGAGCAGCAGCAGCCAAATGTTGTTAAAGACGCAGCAGAAGAAGAACCTGGACTTCAGGAAGGAGGCAGAAGATGGTGACGACCTTCATGGAGGTCAGTGGAGGAGCTGAAACCCTCCATGCTCCTCCTCCATCTGCTCCTGCAGGAGGTGAAGCAGCTGCTCCCTCCATGTTCCTCCTCCTCCTGCAGGAGGTGAAGCAGCTGCTCCCTCCATGTTCCTCCTCCTCCATCTGCTCCTGCAGGAGGTGAAGCAGCTGCTCCCTCCATGTTCCTCCTCCTCCATCTGCTCCTGCAGGAGGTGAAGCAGCTGCTCCCTCCATGTTCCTCCTCCACCATCTGCTCCTGCAGGAGGTGAAGCAGCTGCTCCCTCCATGTTCCTCCTCCACCTGCTCCTGCAGGAGGTGAAGCAGCTGCTCCCTCCATGTTCCTCCTCCTCCATCTGCTCCTGCAGGAGGTGAAGCAGCTGCTCCCTCCATGTTCCTCCTCCACCTGCTCCTGCAGGAGGTGAAGCAGCTGCTCCCTCCATGTTCCTCCTCCTCCATCTGCTCCTGCAGGAGGTGAAGCAGCTGCTCCCTCCATGTTCCTCCTCCTCCATCTGCTCCTGCAGGAGGTGAAGCAGCTGCTCCCTCCATGTTCCTCCTCCACCTGCTCCTGCAGGAGGTGAAGCAGCTGCTCCCTCCATGTTCCTCCTCCTCCATCTGCTCCTGCAGGAGGTGAAGCAGCTGCTCCCTCCATGTTCCTCCTCCACCTGCTCCTGCAGGAGGTGAAGCAGCTGCTCCCTCCATGTTCCTCCTCCTCCTGCAGGAGGTGAAGCAGCTGCTCCCTCCATGTTCCTCCTCCTCCTGCAGGAGGTGAAACAGCTGCTCCCTCCATGTTCCTCCTCCACCTGCTCCTGCAGGAGGTGAAGCAGCTGCTCCCTCCATGTTCCTCCTCCTCCTGCAGGAGGTGAAGCAGCTGCTCCCTCCATGTTCCTCCTCCTCCTGCAGGAGGTGAAACAGCTGCTCCCTCCATGTTCCTCCTCCTCCTGCAGGAGGTGAAACAGCTGCTCCCTCCATGTTCCTCCTCCACCTGCTCCTGCAGGAGGTGAAGCAGCTGCTCCCTCCATGTTCCTCCTCCTCCTGCAGGAGGTGAAGCAGCTGCTCCCTCCATGTTCCTCCTCCTCCTGCAGGAGGTGAAACAGCTGCTCCCTCCATGTTCCTCCTCCACCTGCTCCTGCAGGAGGTGAAGCAGCTGCTCCCTCCATGTTCCTCCTCCTCCTGCAGGAGGTGAAGCAGCTGCTCCCTCCATGTTCCTCCTCCTCCTGCAGGAGGTGAAACAGCTGCTCCCTCCATGTTCCTCCTCCACCATCTGCTCCTGCAGGAGGTGAAGCAGCTGCTCCCTCCATGTTCCTCCTCCTCCTGCAGGAGGTGAAGCAGCTGCTCCCTCCATGTTCCTCCTCCTCCTGCAGGAGGTGAAACAGCTGCTCCCTCCATGTTCCTCCTCCTCCACCTGCTCCTGCAGGAGGTGAAGCAGCTGCTCCCTCCATGTTCCTCCTCCTCCTGCAGGAGGTGAAGCAGCTGCTCCCTCCATGTTCCTCCTCCTCCTGCAGGAGGTGAAACAGCTGCTCCCTCCATGTTCCTCCTCCTCCTGCAGGAGGTGAAACAGCTGCTCCCTCCATGTTCCTCCTCCACCTGCTCCTGCAGGAGGTGAAGCAGCTGCTCCCTCCATGTTCCTCCTCCTCCTGCAGGAGGTGAAGCAGCTGCTCCCTCCATGTTCCTCCTCCTCCTGCAGGAGGTGAAACAGCTGCTCCCTCCATGTTCCTCCTCCACCTGCTCCTGCAGGAGGTGAAGCAGCTGCTCCCTCCATGTTCCTCCTCCTCCTGCAGGAGGTGAAGCAGCTGCTCCCTCCATGTTCCTCCTCCTCCTGCAGGAGGTGAAACAGCTGCTCCCTCCATGTTCCTCCTCCACCATCTGCTCCTGCAGGAGGTGAAGCAGCTGCTCCCTCCATGTTCCTCCTCCACCATCTGCTCCTGCAGGAGGTGAAGCAGCTGCTCCCTCCATGTTCCTCCTCCTCCATCTGCTCCTGCAGGAGGTGAAGCAGCTGCTCCCTCCATGTTCCTCCTCCTCCATCTGCTCCTGCAGGAGGTGAAGCAGCTGCTCCCTCCATGTTCCTCCTCCTCCTGCAGGAGGTGAAGCAGCTGCTCCCTCCATGTTCCTCCTCCACCATCTGCTCCTGCAGGAGGTGAAGCAGCTGCTCCCTCCATGTTCCTCCTCCACCATCTGCTCCTGCAGGAGGTGAAGCAGCTGCTCCCTCCATGTTCCTCCTCCTCCTGCAGGAGGTGAAGCAGCTGCTCCCTCCATGCTCCTCCCTGAGGTCCTGTATTCAGGCTGGAAGCTGCAGCTTCTTGTTCCTCCTCTGAGGACTGGAACACATTGAAAGGTCAGAGAGGAGAAGCAGGAGGTGAGCGGATCTCCTCTCTAGCAGGAACATCTGAGCACCTCCTGCTGCCTCCTCCTTTCTAATCAGATGTTTAAAGGCCTTCCAGCTGCTGAGTCCCTGCAGCTCTGCTGTTGGCCATGGTTGTTCCTCATGGTCTCCATGGATCAATACCAACCTGGGCGTTCTGGGATTCCTCTGGTTTCTGATCTGATTCAATCAGCGGATGGATTGATGGAGGAGGCCGTCTCTACCCATTAGGTCCAACATATTGACCCAGAGACGGTTACAGATTAGGATTGATTAGGCTGATTGATTCCTTCAGCCATGCAGAGGTCAGGGATCCTGCAGCAGAAACAAACCTGAGACTCTTTTAAAGATGGAGGATAAGAACTTTTACACAGTTTTCAAGTTCACAGTTATTTACTATTTCAATTTTATATAAAAATATAAAAGAAATATAAAAAGGTGGCTGTCATTTTTACTGTCCAACAAACACCATCATATCTCTGCATCTTTGCCTTTACTGAAGGTCTGGAACAACCAGAATGATGTCATCAGTGATGTCATCAGTGCCTTGTATAAACTGTTAGTTTTATATATGTGGACATTTTCATGAAGCTGTGGTTGGACCTTCAGCATCAGAACAACAGAACCATCCTGGGTCCTGCAGCAATCATCTCCTGGTTCTGGACCTCATCCAGGAAGCAACACCTCCACCTTCAGGGAGGAGGAGCAGGAGGCGAACGGCCCACAGAAAGGAGGACTTTATTGTTTATGAATGTTTCATTATTAAATTAGACACAATAAATAAAATAAGTTTAAAGTGGAGAGATTTGATGAGGTCAGGCGGAGGTTAAACCCGTCAGAGAGAAGATGTCTGAAGCTGAAGGAAACGTTTTCTTTGGGAAATACGCCTCCAGGTAAACGCAGCTGATAGCGTCGCAGAGCCTGGTTCTGCTGGAGGTTTCTTCCTGTTCAAAGGGAGTTTTTCCTCTCCACTGTCGCTACAAGCATGCTTAGTGTGAGGGATTGCTGAAGAGTCAATGAGTCGATGCAATCAGCTGGTTTTCCGTAGATAGAAAACTTTGAATCAATCTGACTGGATGATCTGGTTGATGTGGATCTATAAAGTGACCTGAGATGACATGATGTGAATTGGAGCTATAGAAATAAACTGAATAGAACTGAATATCTGCTTTTACCCTTGATGAGAGTATTTCAGACTGGTTTACAGCAATAAACATGACAAATACCCACCTGCTGTCTAGTTGGGAATGAAAGTAAATGCTGACATCATGATCCTACGGTGACATCATCTGTTACATTCCCACACAGTCAGATATTTTCAAACTGATTTCTGTGGGATTGATCACTCAGAGTTCAGCTCTGACCGAAGCTGATGGAGGCCTTTCAGAGCGCTGTCATGCATTCGCCCCCAAGCTGACCTCCTAATCACCAGAATGAGACGCTGTAAAGCAGACTGGATGGAATTCAATTTCCCTGATTATTTTTTTATTACTATAATTACAGTAGGACCACATGCTCCACAGATCATCTTTAACACGGTGCAGTTCAGAAGCCCTGCATCAGAGGACGATGAGCTGATATTTCCAGGATAGCAGACTGTAGCCACACGTCTCTGCTCTCCATTTCATGCATGTTTCATTCAGCCTGCTTCTTCAGCATGAAAATCCATTAGATCACTTCTTTAGCTCGTTACAGAGGCTGATAAATAAAAGGAAATGCAGATGAAGAATAATAGAGATGCTCTGCAATGATCTAACAGAGGTTCTGTTGCTCCTCTCTAGTGAGCTCTGCTGGTCCAGGAGTCCTCCTGCGAGTCAGACCTCAGCCTGACTCACCTGGACCTGCTGCTGGGTGCTGGAGTGTCCACTACAGGCCAGTAGGGGGCAGAATCGGTCCGTATTTC